CACAGACAAGACTGTTCGCACATGCGTTTCGCATGTACCTCTGTTTGCCAAAGGTACTACATGAACAAATACAACAGAGTACACGCGCGTTGAGCTATGGATTACTTGTACATTGCTTCATCAGCAACAGACAGATACGACCTCGTTTATGTTTTCCCAACAGCGAGGCTACCGCAGTGAAGTATCGTATCACCATCGCCAGTCCACCGGCTTGAGGTCCACGCCTTTAGGGACGACAAAGAGTCCCGTGGCCTCGCAGACCAACGCGCCCGTTGCAGCCAACTCCATGCGTGCCACGACCCAGACCTTGCGCGCCTTGTCTTCCCGTGCGGCGTCGGACGACTTAACGTCGCCGCCGCGGGCGCCCACCGGCGTCGTCGCCAGTGCCGCAGCCGCCACAGCCGCGGCATCGCGCGGGCGCTCGACGTGCTCCCAGCCGTCGGCCTGCTCCCAGGGCTTGACCATCCTGGCGCGGCGGACCTTGGCGTCCTGGCGGGCGGCGGCGGCGTCGTCCATCGGGGCCATGCGGACGACGACGAGGGTGTAGGGGTTGAGGGGCTCGACGTAGCGGACGTCCATGTTGGCCGTGACGGGGGCGCCGCCGCGAAAGGCCTGGACGGCGACGCGGCCCATGGCCTCGTCCATGACGGTGGCGATGGCGCCGCCGTGGACGACGCCGGGGAAGCCCTGGGTGCCGGAGCCAAAGGTGAGCAGGAGGGAGAGCTGGCCGGTGTGCTGGTCGCGGTAGACCTGGTGGACGAAGCCGAGGCCCTTGTCGTTGCCGAGGGGCCCCGTCACGAGGTGCGCGGGCCGCAGGTGCGGCGGCAGCTCGGCGTGGGCGGGCCAGCAGAGCGGGGTCGTGTCGTAGGGGTCGTCGAGGGGGGACGTCTGGACGACGCCCGTCTCGGCCACCATGTCGTAGAGGGCCTTGCGGTCGGACTGGTCGAAGAGCGGGACCGAGAGCGGGTAGTCCCTCTGGAAGAACAGGGCGTTCTGCGTCTGCGCCACCATGGGGGGGACGCCGGTGTGGGCCAGGTCGTCCTCCGCGTCCTGGTCGTCGAAGAGCTCGGCGTGGGCCAGGCTGCGGAACGTCGGGTTGAGGTTGGACACCTCGTCGCCGGCCGCGTAGCCCACGTAGAGCGAGAGCAAGGCAATGGCGAGGCGCTGCGTCCAGCGGCGCAGACGGCTCTGCGGAGGCGGGACGCCGAAGGGCTGTGGTGAGGGAGCACTTGGGAGGGTGCCTGGCGGGGCGGACAGGAGCGTGGAGATTTGGGCGGGTGTCAGCGTCGAGAGTTTGGAGAGGAGGGCTCGTTCGGCCTGTTGTTGGGATACAGGAGGCACTGTATTGGGTGGCGGTGGGTTCGGGAGCTGTGTGTGACAACTTGATGTAGTCGTGAAGGCGCGCCGCGCGGTGCTGATCGCCATGTGGGATGCTCGCGTGGGCTTCGTGAGCTCCCGCAGCACAGGCCGCCAAGTTTTCGCTGCCCTCATGACGGGCAAAATCAAGGTTCCAGAGAATGTAGTGTAGAATGTATGTTCGGCCACTTGTAGGCAGCTGGTTGAAGTGGTCGGTCGGTCGGTCGGTCGGTCGCTAACGATCGAATCGGACAAGATGCATCGAGGCTCGAGGTCGAAGGGCGAAGGACGGAGGAGAGGGCTGGCGTGCCGACTCTCGTGCGACTTTTGCGGTACGAGGAGGTCCCAATTGGTGAAGCAGATGGAAGTCTGTGCTACATTGTCATGCTTCTAGGCTGTGGCATGTGTTGTTTGGGTGCCAGTCGAGTCGAGTTGTGTCGTGGAGAGCGGTGGGATTTTGATGAAGAAGGAAGCTGGTGATGGAAGTTCTTGACGGAGGTCTCAACGTGGGGGCTGACGGATTGGAGCTTATTGCCGTTTGTGGCGGCGTTTACATGCGGCTCGCTCGTCTTGGCAAAACGGTGTGCGGCGGCGCCATGGACGGACCTGGCGTTGCCATGCACTCGCTGCCTCCACTGTGTCAACTCGATTGCCTGCAACATCATGTAACTTTGACAACATCATCCTGACTTTGACACATGCTTTTGGTCTTGCTAGAGCAAAATGATCTACAAGCGAATAGTCTATTGGGCCCTCGTCATGTCATGATCGTCATATCCTACTGAATCCCTGCGTCTACAGTATTAGCTCTTTACAGCAGGACCTCGCGATCCATCGCTGCTGTCGCAGCAAATGCAGGAAAATTTCTACGACATCATCAAAGTGCTCCAAGCCACCCAGATTCGCCGTCCCTTGGGCACAGTCGCCCGCCCACCGCCATTGATGCCCCTTTCGGCCTCCTGTGGCTCCTTGGCGGCCGCCGTACCATCTCGAAGCACGCGGCCAATTTCCATGTAGCTCTCGACAGCCACAATCATGGGCGCTCGAGCGGCAGGCGGAATTTCCACCATGACGACCCGGGACTCATCGTACAGGTTAAAAGCCAGGTCCAACAACCGCTTGCGCACCTGCATGACCCCATCGCTGCGGGGGCTGCGTAGAACATCTTGGTGTGTGAGACCGGCCTCTTTAAGCCATGTCGTCGGCAGGTAGACACGACCGATGCGCGCGTCGACGGCAATGTCGCGCGCAATGTTGACGTACTGCAGGGCGAGACCCATACGGCAGGCGGCGCGACGGAGCTGATTGCGGGTGGTGGGTCCTTTTGTGCTGTGGCGTTGCAGGACGGCACCCAGCTTGGTGGCGTCCGTCTCGGCCGTGGCGTCAGTGTCGTAGAGATGGGTGGGAAAGCCGGGGATGCAGTGGTGGAAGACGAGCTCGAGGCACATCAGACCGACAGTGCTCGCCACATAGGAAGCGTACAGCTCGAGATCTGCTACACTGGTGATCGGAAACTGGCCGGCCCCTTGGTCAAAGTCCATATCCATGACGAATCCCTGGAGAAGGTCGTCAAAGGGTCTTTTGGGGATGAGGTGGACAGGGAGTTGACGCAGGGTCTCCATGCGGAAGAAGGGAAGGTCGACTCGGCGTACTCGCGAGACGACATGGACTCCGTCCCACACGAGGGGTTCGTCTTGTCGAATTCAGCGTA